GTGGGCTTTTACTGTCCGCAGCTTTTTAGCGAAAATGGGAGATCTCCGGAAAAGATTAGAATCCGGAACGTTGGAGAGGCTTACGGATGAGTAAATACAATTTCATCCACCATATTGTATCATAATATTTCGTGTAATTTATTTATTTATTTATTTTGTTTTTCTTCATCGGACTTAACGTGTCTAAATGAAGCCTGATGGGGAAAAGCCTAGAAAAGGCGTAAAAACCATAGAGGTAACTCTAAGACTAGAAGGTCCCGAAATAACGTGCTCAACTTTTTGGCTCAGCTCTGGTACTCTCGATTCACCCCTCGAAACATAGGAAAAACCAATAAACCCTCATTTTATCTGTCAAACTTTCATAGCGAATCAAAACAAACATTGCATAGTACTAGAATTTCGACTAGAATAGGGTACGTTAATCGTTTGCTTGGGACCAATAGGCTACTAAAGTGGTGAGCCAATTTAAAATCGTTAGTTTCGAATTGATTGTTGTAAAAACCCCATATCTTTTCGAAATACATGAATCACAATAATACAATACAATACAATTACAACGAACATTAATCAAGTCTATAGCATAAAAAAAGTTATCCTCCTATGGCATAGAGTTGTCCGTGAATCAGGTAGAAGTCCTCGTCATGCAGTTGAACCGGAAACAAAAAAATAAACAGGTAGCGCAATCCTTCACGTGTTCATTAAATGGACAGCTATTCACCTTCTCAGAAGTCTGCGTTGAATACGGTGACGAATGGTTTCCGCTGCACAGTTGAAGTCGAAAAACTCGTAAAATTCATTGAAACGCCCAGACATGAAACGTATTGGGTCATGCAAGCTGTAGTTCGCAGCACGAGGTCCAAGATGCAGGAAACTCCTCGACCGAAGAACTCGTTCGGGTGCGTAGATTTCGAATTCAGCCAAGATTCCTGGAGAGTCGATATCATCAATAAGTACTTTCGCTGCAAACACGCCCTGACTAACCATCCGCCTATGTTCTAGCAACAATCAATACGAAACTAACGATTTTAAATTGGCTCACCACTTTAGTAGCCTATTGGTCCCAAGCAAACGATTAACGTACCCTATTCTAGTCGAAATTCTAGTACTACGCAATGTTTGTTTTGATTCGCTATGAAAGTTTGACAGATAAAATGAGGGTTTATTGGTTTTTCCTATGTTTCGAGGGGTGAATCGATTAGCTTGGGAACGAAGAGAGTACCAGAGCTGAGCCAAAAAGTTGAGCACGTTATTTCGGGACCTTCTAGTCTTAGAGTTACCTCTATGGTTCTAGTGTTTCAAGACCCAGGAGTTGACAACGATCTTCGTACGGCGGAAGGTTCACAGGGTCATTCCAAGGAAGGTGACGAAAGGCATACCGAACAAATTTCCTTTGAACTGATTCAATCCTCGCTATCTAAGCCCAGGGCAGAAAGTCTCCTTAATAAAGATATAAAAAAAATCCTCGCTATCCAAACTGCTTGATACGGGCACCATACTACCAACAATCAATACGAAACTAACGATTTTAAATTGGCTCACCACTTTAGTAGCCTATTGGTCCCAAGCAAACGATTAACGTACCCTATTCTAGTTGAAATTCTATTACTACACTATGTTTGTTTTGATTCGCTATGAAAGTTTGACAGATAACATCAGGGGTGTGTGGATTCATGCAGAACATGCAGGGGTGAGTGAAATAGCTTGGGACTGCTTGGGACCGTTGTTCTGGTACTGAGTGAGCCAACAATAATAATGATTTTCTTCGGGACATAGTGGTCTTAGAGTTACCTCTATGATACTACCAACAATCAATACGAAACTAACGATTTTAAATTGGCTCACCACTTTAGTAGCCTATTGGTCCCAAGCAAACGATTAACGTACCCTATTCTAGTTGAAATTATATTACTACACTATGTTTGTTTTGATTCGCTATGAAAGTTTGACAGATAACATCAGGGGTGTGTGGATTCATGCAGAACATGCAGGGGTGAGTGAAATAGCTTGGGACTGCTTGGGACCGTTGTTCTGGTACTGAGTGAGCCAAAAATAATAATGATTTTCTTCGGGACCTACTAGTCTTAGAGTTACCTCTATGATACTACCGAGCTGAATTCCAAGATCGATCGCACTAGAGAGCAGTATAGAGCTTTTAGACAAGCAGGATCGCGAAACTCGTCAGCGATTTTGAAAATGAACCCGAGTTGCCTGTTAGCTTTCGCAACGATGCCCGAGTAATGAAGCTTGAATGTTAAGGCGCAGTCCAGCGTGATTCCTAGGTCACGAACATTGTCGACACGTTGCAGAAGTTGGTGATTTATCGTATAGTTGAATGCCACTGGTTTCAACTTGCGATGAAATGAGATAATATTACATTTTTGTACATTCAACGTGAGATAGTTTCTTGAGCACCACTCTTCGAAAGTATCGATTAGGTGCTCAAGCCGCAAGCAATCGGTGAAGCTACACACAAAAAAAAATTGTTTTAATAAAAATAATGCCATTTCAAATTAAAAGTTTCCTAAATTTCGTAATTTTAACAACGAAAATATTCAAAATAAAAATTATTTTTTTGGTTTGAAAGTGTTTCTTTCAGGTTCGACTTGTAATTTTAAAAGTGCATTTTTTTTAAATGAAAGTTGTTCAACCATCAAAAATATATTTTCTAGGCAAAGTTTTTGGCAGCACTGGACCTCGGATTGCCGCTTTATTTGGCTTGACGTCAGAAGTGTCACGAAGATCGTGGAGAAGTTGGGAAGGACAATTTTCCTCCGTGAAAAGTAATAATCGCAACAGGTAAGCGATCAAATAACAATAGTCTCGGCTTATATTACATGATATAAGCCATAGTCTGTCCAGGGTATTAGAGTTACCTCTATGGTATTACGTGATATAGGCTGTAATGTGCCCGGTGTATAGAGCGAATTGCTGGATCATGATCAGCAATCCAATGCTTTACTGAAAAACAGCAAACGATATATTTACCGAAAAAATCAGCTAATACCCCGTTCACATTACAGCCTATATCACGTAATATAGGCTGTCTTGCAATGAACACTCATACATAGGATTTCCAGTGAATATCACGTGATATACGCTGTAATGTGAACGGGGTATAACATAAACTATCACCCAGTCAAAGAGCTGTCAAACTGTTAGCATCACAGTCGCAAGTATGTTTGCATTCGTCACCGGTCAAACCGCAGGAGTAGGAAGAGGTAAAAAAAACTACAAATAAATAAAATTATGTAGGCTCGGACACTGGTTATATTTAATAGATGATACACGCAGAAAAAAATATTTTCAAAGTAATAATATTTGACGTAAAATCAATAAGAAATTCATTTTGTTTTGGCTGCAAAAAAAAAATCATTATTGTTTCAACAATCCAGTATTTTTGTTTCTAAAAACCCATGGATTGTTAAATCAAAAAGAAAATCTTTTTTAATTTATTTAAGAGCTTTCATGGTTTTGACGAAAGCTGTCAAATTTGGGAGCTGGGTCAACAACAAAAATATGTTTGTTTTTAAAAGAGATTTCTTGTTGATTCAATCTGACAATTCACGCAGTAGAAATAAAAATGTGTTTATTGATGTAAAAATAATATGGCAATTTTTTTATGTTTCGTTTTCATTTTGAAACAAAATTGCAGAAATTGTAATTGTATTTCTGCCCCCGGTTCATGAGTTGATGGGTCGATATGTAGGGTCCAGATGTGAGAGCTGCCTTCCTGGCGTCGGGAGCATTGGTACTCAGTACGGAAAACAAGATCGACGGAAAAAAATAAAGGAAAAAAAAAACAGAAAAATTGATTATATTTATCAACTGCAGCTCGAATTGCAGCATACTTACTTAACTCAAGTCTCAAAATTTTCGAAAATCTTGCACTTATTTCCCGAAATTTACAATTAAAAACAATACTTACGTGGAACGCGTAAGTATTGTTATTGTTTACATTTTTGTCCGGGTGAAAACGAGGCAATGGTTGGTAGTTATTTTTGCTTTCATGGCCCAAAGAATGGACACAGCAAATAATTGCTAAATTAAAATTAACTTTTGTTGGCTTAGTAATAGAATATTATTATTTTTACAATAGCTGCATTTGAAAAGTGGCTGATTAAAACAAAACGAATCCTCCCTAATAAAAAATAACCATAAACGAACGATAACCCAAATCATCGAACCATTCTACAAATGGTTTGGATGATACCCAGAACACGTCGTTAAGCAAATTAACCATACAATTTTTATTAGGGCTATTTTGAATTTATATGAATAAGTATTATTGAAACAACAAAAAGCAATATAATTTCAACTAGAATTGTTTGCTTAAATACAATTAAAGATTTTTTTGGTTCAATGCAAACAATTTTCTGTCCATGTACTTGGAAAAGAGTCTGGAGATTTAATCTTTATTATCCCTATATTTGTATCAACGATCTTTCACAGAAGCTGGAAGGTTATATAGTGAAAACAAATTCAATTTACTGAATTTAATAGTTTAATCGGCAAAATGCTGCCAAATGTCAAAATTTTGAATAGCTGAAAGATCATTAAAGAAATATTGCTGATTTTCAGTAAAAGGTTGTCATTTTGACAGAAGTTGGAATTGCTGAAAAATTCAGCAGCATTATTTTGCTGGAACGTTTGCTGATTTTTCATCGAGTCTTTCATCAAGTCTAAAATCAGCAAAATTTTGATAGCTCTTTGACTGGGTGTTAGTTTATGTTAGCTGATTTTTTCGGTAAAATATCGTTTGCTGTTTTTCAGTAAAGCATTGGATTGTTGATCATGATCCAGTAATTCGTTTTACTGATAATGAGAACTTAAATTTGGTGTGTAGGATTTCACCATCAGTGGCGGGGCGACATCTGTTGGATTACATGGTGAAAAAGTAGAATCTGCATGAACTGAGTAAATGTGTTTCACCGTGTAATATGCATAAAAAACACCTATAATAATCTTGGTATAAAAAGACAGGAGCGACGACGACAGTAGCAGCGCATTTCAATCGATTCTAAATTTCCAATCGCTTATCGGTGTGTGGAAATTAAAAGTGGCTTTTATTGGTCGCGTCGTGATTAATTATCCTTAGAATTCCTGATTTGTTGAGGAATCAGGTTGTGAATTTAGTGGAGTGGTGAAATCGGATTAGTGGGGTCCGGTAGTTTGCTTTTAACGATCTGTGTTCATCACCTCTACAACAAAAATGGCCGATTTCCTCGACTCGGAAGCTGAAGAAAGTGAGGTAAATAGTGCTTATTCTGTGATTCATTTTGTCGCTGGGATTAGTTTGTTACCCTGTGTTATTTAACATCAGCAGGAGGAGGAGGATTTGGAACCTCATGAGCGTAAAAAGCTGAAAAAATTAAAGGCAGTCAGTGACAGCGAAGAGGAAGAGGAAGGTGGGCTTTCTAGTTTTTTCATTAAATTCTTTGAAAAAAAAAATGTTTCCTTGAAAATAGATGACGAAGAGCGGCTTCGAGAAGAGTTGAAGGATCTCATCGACGACAATCCTATCGAGGAAGATGACGACAGCGGCGGGGAAGATTCGGATGCATCCGGCAATCACCCCAAGAGAAAGAAAAGTGATGACGAAGACGAACTCGATGATCGATTGGAAGACGAAGATTACGATCTAATTGAGGAAAATCTGGGTGTTAAAGTCGAGCGGGTGAATATCATCTATCTATAAGCTGGTCGAATCCTCGTCAATGTTTTTTTTTTCTTACAATTTGTACTATGTTTACCTATTTCGCAGAAACGATTCAAACGGTTGAGGAAAATCACCGATGAGGGCAGCGACGACGATGAGGCCGTTGATGATGGTCTCAACAGAGAGGTGATTGCCGAACAGCTTTTCGAAGGATCCGGCGATGAGGTACGTAAAATTTCAAATTTTGTAGCGTATTTTCCTATACCTACATTATGGTCGGTTGGTATGGTTGATGGACAATCACCCCCTCCATCCCCGCTAATAAGCTACATCAAATAGGGGAAATGTCTCTAATGTTGGCCTATGGATCTAAGATTGGGCCCATCGCTAAAAATCTGCTATTTATCAATTTTATCTAGATGAACGCGTTGTTGGGACGTTACTAATGGATATTTTTGGTTGCTATTGAAAATTTAGTCGATTACTGAATTTATGTATGGGCCCAAATTAGGGACACTTAGGCCGACATTACCTGCATTTCCCCTATATCATATTAACAATATAATCCATTCATGCCTTTTCCAAATGTTGCAATGGCGACCTGCAAAATATATCTTCACGCAACATCTAGCGTTGAAAAAGGTCAGCAACATTCATTCAATTACAATCGAGGGGTGCGAATATAGCACTTATTACAAAAGTAAGAGTCAAATTATTTTCATTAATTACAATGCGTATATTATTTTAAAATTTGTCATGTCACTGTTGTCATCAAATAAAAAAAAAGCTGAAATACATTCATTTGAAATATTAAACAAATTTTCATTTGGTTTACCCCTCGTGACAATAAACAAATACATTGGTAGCCTTTTTGGCCACAGAGGTGCTTTCATCGCTAAAAATTCGGTTCGCCAGCTAAGCGAAAGAGTGTTGTGTTGTTAATATAATATATTTGGCTACATGTCATTTATGCATTCACGCTGGGCAGCAATCCATTTCCATTTCGGAACTGCTCGGTAAGAGTTTAAAAATCTGAAAATTCCAAAATGAGAAAATTTATTCCGAACTTGTAGGGGAAATGGCTCTAATGTTGACCTATGGATCTAAGATTGGGCCCATCACTAAAAATCTGCTATTTATCAGTTTTATCTGGATGAACGCGTCATTGGGACGGTACTAATGGATATTTTTTGTCGCTATTGAAAATTTAGTCGATTGCTGAATTTATGTATGGGCCCAAATAAGGGGCATTTAGGCAGACATTACATCCATTTCCCCTACATACATAGTTCTGTTGAATCACATTTAATGATACGGATTACGGATAAAGGGCATTTGACTTTTATCGATTTTCAGCAAACCCATTAAAACAAATACTGACTCCTGTAAAATAATCTAAGCGTGTAACGTGTACCTACGAGTTCTACCCCAGATGACTGCGTCCGGGAATATTATTTTGATTTTTCTCTTCCGGTAGCTCGCCGGGTATTATAAGCATAATATCCATACCGTTATACACTTTCATATGTACTTCTTGATACGCTGTCTACCGACGACCATGTTCATCGTTAAAGTATGTTTGTTCCTTCTGAACTGGTTTTGTCAAGACGAAGTGGACTGTACTGGGCGGGAGCGAACGGAGTTGATTAGCGTCAATCGAAGTTCTAAACTCAGAAGCTCTGAAAAGAGCTGGAGGGTTCGACGCTGCTCTCCGGGACACCAATGGACATGCAGTAGAAATGACGAATGCTGCCGACTACACTAGACACTACTGTTTTATTACTCTTTGCTTCTTAATACAACGTTTTACAGCTGCTGCTGCTGCTGCTGCTGCGAACGGATGCTCGGTTGGATTCAAACTTAACTTAAGCACGCTACTGCGGGGATTTTTATAGAACGGCACCGACCGTTTGCTCGTTGCTGATTGGTCGACGTTTTCTCCTCTCTTTCGGCGGTAGGCGGAACATCCTCCCCCCGGTTGAGCGATCTCAACACCCTTTGGAAGTCGGAGGGCTTTGACGGGGATCATTATCCTCGATGGGCAGAATGGACACCTTATTGATGGGACGTCGATACGTGGTTCCATTCACGAAGACATCAACTGCTCGGACCAGGCCGTCGGTTCCAGGATAGACGGCTACGATGCGACCTATCTTCCAGTTGAGTAGTGGTTGGTTACGATCGTGAAGCAACACGATCATGTCTTCCCGAATGTTCGGCTTCTCTTGTCGATTTTTCTTCCGAGGCTGCAAGGTATTCAAATAATCCTGGCTCCAGGCACGCCAGAATTGCTCGCGCATAAGTTGGAGATGTTGCCACCGTGTCAAGCGGGATGCTTTGACGTTCTCCAGGGATGGTTCAGCTGGGGCGATCAGCGGTCGTCCAATCAAATAATGCGCTGGAGTTATCACCAGCGGGTCCGCTGTGTCGTTGGAAATTGCGAACAATGGTCGGGAGTTCAAGACGGCCTCGATTTCTGACAGGATCGTACACAATTCCTCGAACGTTAGAATCGTATTGCCGACTACCCGCTTCAAATGGGTTTTGACCGACTTCACGGCTGCCTCCCACAAACCTCCGAACTCGGGTGCGTCGGGTGGAATGAAATTCCACTCAATCTCATGATTGCAGCAGAAAGATTCGATGGTCTCCACGGCCTGTTGGTCACAAAACCGCTGGTAAAGCTTGTTCAATTCGTGGTGAGCACCACGAAAATTGGTTGCGTTGTCCGAATGGATTTCTTGGACCATTCCACGACGAGCGATAAATCGTCGAAGGGACGCCATGAAGGCATCGGTACTCAAATCGGAGACGGACGGCTTTGGTTGCCATGCAAACATAAACGGCCACGTACGGCTTCACCAAAGTTGGACGACGTGTGCCTTGCTTGGTCCAGAAGGGGGGCGACGGCACTACTCTCGATACTGGCAGGTTTCCCATCAATTGGTTGGGAGTGGTGGGATTAGTCCGGAAGCATCTCACGCACCGGCGTGTGATAAATCGGATGGTGGATCTTGCGTTCAGCAACCAATAACGTTGTCTCATGGCGTTCATCAGGCCCGTTTGCCCGACGTGAAGGAGCTCTACGTGCATTTGTTGAATTAGTAGTCGTACTACCGGATCCTTATCTGGCAGAATGATTGGATGGCGACTTTCGAATGGTAATTGGGAGCGGTCCAACCGACCACCTACTCGAAGCAGTCCGTCGTGGTAAATTGGACGAAGACCTCCGAGTCTCTTGCAGGCCTTGTTTGCCAGAATTAGCTTAATCTCGTGGGAGAAATGTGCCTTCTGCAAAACTTGCATGATGACTTCAGATGAGCGGCGTAACTCACGGACGGTCAGATGGGGCTTTATCTCTCGATTGGTCGGGTCCTTTTTCCGACAATTGGCAGTGAATCGCACGACATAGCCCACAACTCGTTGGATTTTGCGGAAGTTACTGAGCTTTGGAAGAAAAGATAGGAAGTCCATACTCACATCTGGCCCTACTACCAAGGTCTTAAGTTCCGGTAGCTTCTCGTCTGGAACGTCTTCAGGGGCATCTATGTAGTACACTCAGGTCTTTTTTACACGGGGGATACGTACCGTGTAAAAAAAAACCTACGAGATTTTGATTTTTCACATGCTTAATTGTTTTTAAAAAATCGGATTTTGATGCCATTTGTAAATATAGCATGCTATGGTCCATAAAGACATATTTTAAAAATTTCTGTATTTACACCAAAAATTGTGATTTTTTTTTCTTAGTATGTCATTCGATTACCTATAGCTTGAAACGGATAATGTGATTGGAATCAAGTCGATAGGTTGTATCGTTGTCGAGAAATCTTTAAAAACGTACCGTGTAAATCGCGAAAAACCGTGTAAAAAAAACCGCGTAAAAAACCGTGTAAAAAAAGACTTCAGTGTACTCAACTCTTTGCAGGAATTCGGGCCCATTCCACCAAAGGCTGTTGTGCTTCAGGGATTCAACTAGTTGACCTTGGGATACGATGTCTGCTGGGTTCTGTTGGGACCGGACATACTCCCACCGGTACTTCCTGGTGTGCTCTTGTATAATTGCGATTCGATTCCGTACAAACAACTGTAGCTGGTTGAGAGGTTTCTTAATCCAAGCGAGGACTACCGTACTGTCGCACCACAGGAATATTTCACGGAAAGTGTTCCAGGGCTGGTAACACCTTCTGTACTAACCGGGTTAGTAGGAGAGGGGCGCACAGTTCCTTTCGTGGGATGGACAGCTCTTTTAGGGGAGCCAGTTTCGATTTGCTGGTGAGGAGACGAAGCTTCGCCGAGCCATCGCCAAAAAGATGCAGGCTCCATAGGCCTTGTTGGAGGCATCAGAAAAGCCGTGCAGCTCGTAGGCGACCACTTTGTCCATCGTCACGCGCCTTGGGATCTCGATCTCGTGAAGATGCGACAAGGAATCTTGGAGTTGTCGCCACTGCTGTGCGATGTCTTCGTCAACCGGGTCGTCCCACCCGGACTTAAGCTGCCACAATTTCTGCGCTAGAAGCTTCGCCAAAACAATGACCGGTGAAACCAGTCCCAGTCAAAAAACCTGGCGATCTCGGAGTACATCGTTCTTTTCGTAGGCCGTTGCGGATGCAATGTTGGGTTTGGACGATAGGCTATGAGTATCGAGTCTTCAGATGGATCCCAGAGTAAACGTAACGGTACAGAGTTCCAGGACTTGTAGGGGTAACGATGGGTGCTCTCTCCAAAAGATTCGAAGGAAACTACGATCCAACAGGGCTTTGAGTATTTGACGGTACATTTTAGAGATGTCTCCGGTGATGGCAACCTTGAATTTTCGGAACCGTAGCGCGATATGGTGCAGATCGTTCTGTACTACTGGACCAACTTACAGTACATCGTTCCGGGAGAGTTCCGATGGCGACAATTTTGCACTTGCGTCGAACACGACTCGACATTTCGTGCTCGAGCTGGACGGACGTAACACTGCATGATGCGGCAAATAGTAGGTTTGTTTGTTGGGTGGATCTTCAGACTCGTTGATCTCGGTGCAGTGGCCGAGAGCTTCGTACTCCCGGATGAAGTTCATGTACTGAGTCTGCAGCTCGGGATTGCGGATTAATCGCTTCTCCAACATCAGGAATCTTTTCAAAGCTAGACTGTGACAGTTATCCAATTGGAGAAGATTGTCCTTGAACGGCAGTTTCACGATGAATCTTCCAGTTTCGTCACGTTCGGAAAGGAAATGGGCTTCGCGTGCTGCTTCCTCGGTCGACAGCTTGGGAACGTCCGGCACCTCCTCGACTTGCCAGAACCGGTGCATCCTTTGCTCAATGTCTTCAACGGCTGTGTTGGATTGGAGCGACACGTTTGACACGAGCTGATCATTGATGGCACCTGCTACGATCCACCCCAGATAAGTGTCTCGCAATTGTGGAAGACCTTCGGCTAGGCTCAGCTGACCAGGTTTCAGGATATCGAAGAATAACTCCCCACCGATCAGCAAGTCCACCTTATCCGGACTGTGGAACTTGGGATCAGCTAGGATTACCCCTTCAGGGATCGTCCATTTGGTGATGTCTATTCTCGATGTAGTAATCGTGCCGGTCACTCTCGGGGTAACCAGACACTCGAGGCTTGCGTGGAAATTGGATACACGGGACTGGAACTTGACCACCACCTTGTCGCGGGCGAGGGACCGTAGGGCGTTGATTCCCACGATCGGAACGTTGGCTGGTTTCTTTGGAAGGCCAAGGCGGTTAACCATCTCTTCGGTTACAAAGTTGACTTGGGAGTCGCTGTCCAAAAGTACCCGGCACGGATATGGCTGGTTATCTTTATCCAAGACATGTACCACTGCGGTCAGCAACAGTACCGTCTTGGGAAATGAGACAACATTCGACGAACAGGTTGTTGACACTGGTAGATCCACTGGGGCAGGAATCGTCTGCACCGACATCTGTTAATTCGGAGCAGCCGGAACCAGAGGCGGGCTTGCCACTGCTTCCGCGGAAACGTTGGACTTCTTCTCATGGCGAGGTGCCCCATCATCATGGAGCAACGTGTGGTGTCGGCTTGACACTTGTGGCACGATTTGTTGGAAGGGCAGTCCTTGGATCGATGCCCTTTGCGCAAGCAGTTGAAGTAGACTCCAGCAGTTCGTATCTTCTCATTCTTTTGGGCAGGAGTAAGGTTGGACAAGGCCGAGCACTGGTGATTGCGGTGAGAACCTCCGATGACATCTCTCGTAGTGAAAACAGACCACGGATGTGGGTTTCTACGAGAACCCGCTTGTTTTCGTAATGATCCTCCAAAATGTCCCAAGCTTGTTGATAGTTCCCTTCACTAAGGATCTTGGTATTCAAAACACCAGCTGCATCTCCGATGAGCGCCTTATCGAGGTGATACAGTTTTATGGCGTCTGTATCCCCCGAGTGAGCCATCAAACCCTGAAAGACAGCTTTGAATTTAGGCCACCCAGAGTAATTGCCATCGAATGTTGGAATTGGTGCGCTGAGCGGCTGCTGCGGGACGACCACCTGCGGGTTATGGACGGTTCTCGGCGATGGAGTGGCCGCGTTCGCTTGTGCTTCTAGCAACAACTCCTGTACGGCATCGGTAACGTTGTTGTAGAGATCTTCGAAGTTGGCATATTCATGTTCCTGCTCGTCCAGCGCATCATGTGGAAGATGCGCCAGTCCTTTGCTGTGGAATCCGCTGTACTCGGTGTACACAACGGACAGATGCTTGGACATATTTGTCAGTTGCGCCAAAGTCGGTGGCTTTCCACTAATGAGAGAACGCCGAATGCGCACAATCTTTTGCTTCACTTGTTCACGTTGCCTGGATATTCCCTGCCACTGTTTTGCAGATTCAGGATCCATAGCTGCTTCCCACTCGAAGCCGTGAAATGAACCGGAACTGCTAACTGGCGATCTAGGGATAGGGTTCCCTTGCTGGTTTTCTTCAGCGTCTTCTGGTGCCATTTATGACACCTCACTCACTACGTGTCGTAAAGGGTGTCCACGATGAAATTGCCACACACAAAATTGATTCGCAAAATTCGAGTTTTCATCCGATTGCCATCAAATTTTCAGGGATTGAGAAATAACTATTAAACTTCATTTTACCATTTTACTCGTATTTTATTTACAGTCCATACGCAAATGCCCGCACCTTGGCCTTAACCCCGGCCATAAGATTCTGCACAACCTGTGAATCAACCGTTTTTTGCATGTAAACCCATACTTTCTTCAGTTCCTCGACTGTCTTCACTACCTTAGGTCGTTTAAGAAGGTGCTGCTTCATAATCGCCCAGTACTTCTCGATGGGGCGGAGCTCCGGAGTTTTGGGAGGGTTGAACATTTTCGGCACGAAATTGACCTTATTGTCCGCATACCACTTCAGCACGTCCTTGGAGTAGTGGCATGAGGCCAAATCCGGTCAGAAGATTGTTGGGACGTTGTGGGCCTTCAGGAGAGGAAGCAGCCGCTTCTGGAGGCACTCTTTTATGTACACCTGTCCGTTCATCGTGTCCTGGGTCACGAAAGGTGCACTCCACTTCCCGCACGTGCAGATGGCTTGCCAAACCAGGAATTTCTTCGCAAATTTGGACATCTTCTGAGTGCGGACATGCTCCGGAACGCTGAACTTATCCTTGGCCGTGAAAAACAGGTTGCCGGGGAGCTGTTTGAAGTCGGCCTTCACATATGTTTCGTCGTCCATGATGCAGCATTCAACTTTCGTCAGCATGTTGAGGTACAACTTCCTGGCACGGGTTTTGGCGGACTTGTTCTGCTTCTCGTCGCGATTAGGGGCCTTTTGTACCTTGAACGTTTGAAGCCCAGCCTTAGTTTTGGCCTTCTGGACAAAACTTCGGCTTAGGTGCAGCTTCTTAGCCACATCCCTAACGGAGGCGTTCGGATTTCGGTTGAAGGCCCCAACTACGCGGTTGTGATTTTTGGTGTTGTACGGAATACTTTTTCCTTCACTTCTGGGCTTCCGATCGGTGGTCAACCGTTCCTCGAACCGCTTAATCACTCGCGACACCGTGGAATTCGCGATTCCCAACGTTTTAGCGATGGAACGATGCGAGAGATCCTTGTTCTCGTGATGAATGCGCAAGATTTTATCACGCACGAGCTGTTCTTTCGACTCCATTTCCGCGAGTTTTGATCACAGGACTTTAAAACTTGCAGGATGTAAATAATGCACTATGAACTAAATCCACCCAAATTTTCATTAAATTCTACCCAACGGTTAAAAAGTTAGAGCAATTTCATAGTGTGGCAATTTCATCGTGGACACCCTTTATTTCAAATATCGAAACCACAACAAAACGTTTTATTTTTTTTCGAAAACGCACTTCTCACTCGCGCACGTTTAAACACGTTCGTTCTAAATGCTCCGCGTCGAGTCGCAAGCGTAGCAGCAGAAGCAGTTGTTTCGTTTTGCACGTAGCACGTCAGTTTCCACTCAACGGGAACGGTTGCTTCGGAATGGCTCGTGATCCGGTTCGTGACGGACCAAATTGATGTTCCTTCTGAACTGGTTTTGTCAAGACGAAGTTGACTGTACTGGGCGGGAGCGAACGGAGTTGACTAGCGTCAATCGAAGTTCTAAACTCAGAAGCTCTGAAAAGAGCTGGGGGGTTTGACGCTGCTCTCCGGGACACCAATGGACATGCAGAAGAAATGACGAATGCTGCCGACTACACTAGACACTACTGTTTTATTTCTCTTTGCTTCTTAATACAACGTTTTACAGCTGCTGCTCCTGTGAACGGATGCTCGGTTGGATTCATTCACGATCGCGTTTGTCATAGTGGTCTTTGGTTTTTTGTTCATGATTCCGTTATAAAAAATCTGGGACTTTGAACGGTTATCTGAAGTCTATGGCTTGGAAAATTGGTAACTACACTGCAATGCTCATTTCTGTTTGGAAACTTTGTAAACATATCAATCAAAAATGAAAAAATAGTGTATTACTGAATTATAAGTGGGGATGGGTGGCATTCACTAGCCCGAGAATACCCTCCAGATGCTAGCCTCTTCACCAACCATACATCAGTACACACTTATCGAGTCAGTAATTTTTACCGAGTTTTTGAATTGCGGAACTCTTCGGTAAAATTTAAAAATTCTGTGAAAAATTCAAAGTTGAGAAAATGTGTTACGAAAAATGATGAAAAATAAAAATGTTCGATTTTATCCAATCTTTACGAATAACAGTCATTTGAATTTTAACCGAGTCAGTAATCCAAAAATCCAGTAAAAATACTGACTCCTGTAAAAAAAATCTAAGTGTGTATACAGAAGGAGCGGAGCTGCACACTCCTCCATCAAAACAGCACCGCAGCTGAGCTGCGAGCGAGATAGGAAATGACAGGTGGGCAGAAACTCACACGGTAAGAAAAAATACTCAAAATTAAGTTAAAAAAAACTCAACGTTGGGTTCTATCATTTGAGGTCCGCTGTTGAGTGAATCAGAAAAGCGGCGTTGGTTAAAATTTACTCAACTATTGAGTAATAATAAATGAACTCAAATTTAAGTTTATTTTCATTGAGGTTGCTTTTAAAGGGTGATACGATCAAAATTTGGTCAATATCAACTTGACGTATTTCTTTCAATTTTGCATTTAAAAAACCTGAACACCCCTCATTTTGAAGGTGTGTGTGTGTAGAATGTTGCTCCTGTTTTGATTTTGGAATTCACTCTTCAGTTGTCAAAATCCCGTCCAAGCAAGAAGAGCAGCGTATCAAAATTTTGCTCGCGCATCGCGAAAATCCGAGCTACTCGCACGCAAAGTTGGCAAAATCGCTAAAAGTTGCCAAATCAACCGTTACAAATGTAATTAAAGTGTTTGGGGAACGTTTGTCGACAGCCAGGAAGTCTGGATCGGGGGGAAATCGAAAACCGGAAGCCGCTGAGACGACAAAGAGAGTTGCCGGTAGTTTCAAGCGAAACCCTAACCTCTCTCTCCGAGATGCCGCAAATAAGCTGGGTGTATCGTCTACAACCGTGCATCGAGCCAAAAAACGAGCCGGACTATCGACTTACAAGAAGGTAGTGACTCCAAATCGCGATGATAAACAAAATACGACGGCCAAAGCGCGATCCCGGAGGCTGTACACGACGATGCTGACGAAGTTTGACTGCGTGGTAATGGACGACGAAACCTACGTCAAAGCCGACTACAAGCAGCTTCCGGGACAAGAGTTTTATACGGCAAAAGGAAGGGGAAAGGTAGCAGATGTTTTCAAGCACATGAAACTGTCAAAGTTCGCAAAGAAATATCTGGTTTGGCAAGCCATCTGTACCTGTGGCTTGAAAAGCAGCATTTTCATAGCTTCCGGGACTGTCAACCAAGAAATTTACGTGAAAGAGTGTTTGAATAAACGTCTGCTGCCTTTCCTGAAGAAACACGGTTGTTCCGTACTGTTTTGGCCGGATTTGGCATCTTGCCATTACGGTAAAAAGGCCATGGAGTGGTACGCCGCCAACAACGTGCAGGTGGTTCCCAAGGACAAGAACCCTCCCAACACGCCAGAGCTCCGCCCAATTGAGAAATACTGGGCTATTGTCAAGCGGAACCTAAAGAAGACCAAAAAAACTGCTAAGGGCGAGCAGCAGTTCAAGGCAAACTGGCTTTCTGCGGCGAAGAAGGTGGACAAGGTGGCTGTACAAAATCTGATGGCAGGGGTCAAGCGTAAGGCCCGGCAATTCGGATTTGGAAAAGCGGAAGCCTAACTGAATATTTTTCCTGAATTTTATACTAATTGAACTTGAAAAAGAAATTTAATTTGATTTTTTAAATAAACGATTTCACCGATTTACACGCGTTTTCCCTTGACCAAATTTTGACCGTATCACCCTTTATGCGCCTTTAACCATTTTATTTTCACAAGCGTTGATAGACAAGTGGTCAACACACCGGCCCGTAATCTCAACGTCCATGTTTTTTTTTTATGTTAACTCTTTATTTGTTCCAAATTCAAAATAAATTACATTTCATTTTAACCTAGGTGCTCCAGTTACTGCAGTAACGTACCAGCCTTAATTGTTATGATATATATCTAAGTGTTTTTACATTGTTCATGTCTTGGCAATTCAGTATTTTAAACAGGTTTTTTAACCTGCATGTCAGTATAACAATTGATATCTTAAAACTAAAAACTAAAACTAAATCTTATCTAAGTATAAAAGGAATTAATCGTTGCAATTGAGGATTGCAACGATTTTTGCCTGAAATTATTAATTATTTTGTTGGACATTTGTTCTAAAGTCTCAACATTCGAAATTCTATGTACCTCGGTAGTACTGTACCAGGGAGGCAACTTCAAAATCATTTTCAGAACTTTGTTCTGAATCCTTTGAAGTGCTTTTTTCCTGGTAGTGCAACAACAAGACCATATTGGCACAGCGTAAAGCATGGCCGGTCTAAAAACTTGTTTAAATATTAGAAGTTTATTCGTCAGGCAAAGTTTGGATTTCCTGTTTATAAGAGGATACAAACATTTTATATATTTGTTACATTTGGCTTGAATGCCCTCAATGTGATCTTTAAAAGTTAATTTTTGGTCAAGTATTAATCCAAGATATTTCACTTGGTTTGACCAGGAAATTGGAACTCCGTTCATAGTGACTATGTGACTACTACTAGGTTTCAAAAACGAATCTCTAGGCTTATGTGGAAATATTATAAGTTGAGTTTTGGAAGCGTTGGGAGAAATCTTCCATTTTTGTAAATAAGAAGAGAAAATATCTAAACTTTTCTGCAGTCTTCTGCAAATAACACGAAGACTTCTTCCTTTAGCGGAAATGCCTGTGTCATCAGCGAACAAAGATTTGTGGCAACCCTGAGGCAAATCAGGGAGGTCCGAAGTGAAAATGTTATACAATATAGGCCCAAGAATGCTACCCTGGGGAACTCCTGCTCTAACAGGTAGTCGATTAGATTTGGAATTTTGATAATTTACCTGCAGAGTTCTGTCAGTTAAATAGTGTTGAACTAATTTCATAATGTAAAGTGGAAAATTAAACTTTTTTTCAATTTAGCAATCAAACCTTCATGCCAAACACTGTCGAATGCTTTTTCTATGTCTAGAAGAGCAACTCCAGTTGAGTGGCCTTCAGATTTGTTTGAACGAATTAAATTGGTAACTCTTAAGAGTTGATGAGTAGTTGAATGCCCATGGCGAAATCCAAACTGCTCATCTGCAAAAATTGAGTTCGTATTGATGTGAAGCATCATTCTATTCAAAATTATCTTTTCAAAAAGTTTACTTATTGAAGAAAGCAAACTTATTAGGCGGTAGCTAGAAGCTTCAGCTGGATTTTTATCCGGCTTCAAAATTGGAACAACTTTTGCATTTTTCCATTTATCAGGAAAGTATGCCAAATGGAAACATCTGTTAAATAATTTTACCAAGAAAGACAAGGTACTCTCTTGGAGTTTTTTGATGAGGATATAGAAAATTCCATCATCACCTGGAGCCTTCATATTTTGAAATTTTTTAGTTATAGACCTTACTTCGTCCAAATCAGTCCCCCAGGAATCATCAAAAATATTTTCCCGAGAGAAAATATTCAGAAAATCCCGAGCAACCTGATTCTCAATAGGACTAGTAAGACCCACACTGAAATTATGGGAACTCTCGAATTGCTTAGCAAGTTTCTGAGCTCTTTCCAAATTTGTGATCAAAATTTTACCACCTTCTTTAAGCGCTGGAATAGGCTTTTGAGGTTTTTTCAAAATTTTTGTGAGTTTCCAAAAGGGTTTGGAACTCGGGTCTAATTTAGAAATATTATTTTCAAAAGTTTTGTTCCTCAGGGCAGAGAATCGCTTTTTAATTTGTTTTTGCAAATCCCGCCAGATAACCTTCATGGCAGGATCGCGTGTTCTTTGATATTGTCTCCTACGGACATTTTTAAGACGGATCAAGAGCTGATCGTCGTCTATTATAATTGAA